TAAATGAAAACACAGTTAACATGCTTTTATTTGATATTTGCTAAGTATCAAGAAGAATTTCATGGGTGAGAAGATGGACTGAGTTCAACAAAAATAACCTGCCAGAGGACTGAAGAGCAGCTTGCCTCTAAACCTCCTGAACTAACATGTATGCTCAACTCAGGTTATTTCAGTGGAAATCTGAGAGGAGATTTGTGTCATGATAAGGTTGTATTAATCCAGAGAAACATTTGTTCACATGTTATTATTTCTGTTCTATTGGAAAATTAACGAAGTTTTAGTTAAAAGTTTGCACTAATTGTTTCCCATTTTAAAACAACAGCAGGGGTAGCAATGTTGCAGATGAATAGATATTTCTATACTGTGTACCTTATTACAGTAAAGCTGAGAGGGGAAATATGTATCAATGAAATATAACACACACACACCCCCCCCGCAAACCATTTAAGTGCTAAAATCCATCAATAGTCACTATTAAACCAACTGGGCTCAATCAGGTGACCTCAGTAAGTTACACCACATAAATTGGTGACAAATTTGGCATATAAAGTACGAAGGAAACCTCCGGTTCCCATCATAATTTCTTGAGTGCTCTCTGGGATGTGAAGGAGGGACTGCAAAGGAAACTTCTACCCCGCCCCAAGCCGCAAAGCTGAGCGGAGAGCCCACCCCGCTGCTGCTCCCTTTGCAGGGGGAGTGAACCTGGCCTGAGTGTGATGGGACTGGCTGTGCTGCGGGTGAGCGCAGGTCAACAGATGGGTCAGGGCGGGAGCCGAAATCTAGTCTGTATCCAAATATGACACGGGCAGGCATAACTCACTTACAAGATGGACAAAATTAACAGCGCTTCCCAAGTTACGAAGCTGAGGAGGAGGAAGAAAACATGAAATCCTCAAGTCCAGGTGTTAAGCAAGCAAAAAATTAAGAGCATGTGCAATTGCTGGAAGGAACATCTGGAGGTCATTTAGTCCAACCTCCTCTTCAAAGTAGGAACAACATTATTAGGTTTTGAAAGTATCCCTGGATGGGCCTTCCACAGCTTCTTCGGGCTCCAGTGCTTAATCACTCTTACGGTAACATTTTTTTCCACACACCTAGTCAGACTTTCCCTTGCTGCAACTTGTCTGTGGCTGATATCCGTTTTGCTGTGCACCTCCAAGAAGTGCCTGGGTCTGCCTTCTCTCTAATTAGCCATTAGTTAGTTGAAGGAAGCAATTAGAGTCCCCCTTTGCCTTCTGTTCTCCTGGCTAAACAAACCTCTGCCCCTCCTCAGTACTTCCTGACCATCTCTGGGGTCCTCTCCTGGACTTGCTCCAGCTTACCGATGTCCCTCTGCTAATGGAGGTCCCAACCCAAATGGAGCACTCCAGCTGCAGCCCACAAGCACCAAGGAGAGGCGAGTAATCACTTCCCATGACCTGTTAGCTGCGCTCTTGCTAATGCAGCTCAGCAGGCGCGGTCCTCTCCTCCGCAAGGGCTCAGTCCTGACCTGAGTTAATGGCTGGCTGAACATAACTCAAAAGTGAACATATCCATGCAGTTGTGCGCATCTCATTTCTGACGTGTTCTCAAGGAGGTGAGTGAACTTTTGGGAACTGTCCTCCCATAAAGGAGATTAGGAAAAAATAGCAAGGGGAGGGTGCTCTACAATGAAAGTGATGCAATCTGTCAATGGTGCTAAAAAATTTAAATAAAAAAAAATCATAGTGAAAGTAGTTTAACTTAATTTTGCATATGCATTTTATAACTATTTTTTCTTAATGAAACAAAACTTTTTTTTTTTTTGTAACCCATAAGCCTTACTGATTTGCAGCTAAATGTAATCTATAATTTAAATTTCCTATCTCTTTTTGGAAAACAGTCATTTAGAACTTTAAATATTATGGACTAATTATAGCAATTATACAGATGTTTAATATTTTCTTTTTTTTCCATTTTTTATGTTTACCTACTTTCGGATAGACATTGAGCATAGAAAAAATTGAAATTTTGAAACTTTTAATTAAAAAAAGTGTCTTTACTGTGCCAGGTTATTTTTTTCTTTTTTTTTTTTAATTTTTTTTTTGTTTAGATGTTACTTATTAAAAAGAAAATAAGCTGAAGCAATGATTTTCCTGAGTACCACATCCTTGGAGATTTTGGAACTAGCAGGTCTCAGGATCACACCTCATTTTAATACAGGAAAAACAAATTTTCTTCTTTTTCAACTCCCAATTGTGTTCTCTGTTTCCAATGAACTAGATATTGACTAAAGTAAATTAAAATGAAGAACAAGCTCTAAATGTACTAGGCAGTACATTGGCGTATTAACTCACCAAATGCCTATTCTTAGTTCCAGACATTTAGCAGAAACTTCCCACAGACCAGTAATTTCATTATTTAATAATCTGTCAGCAATCACTCATTCTGTGAAGGCGATTTTAATTTAAGTGATGTTAACTGCAACCGGTTAGAGTAAATGTAGGAAGTATTATAAACCATCATAATTAAAATGAAGACTTTTCTCTATATATGCACCTATGTAATTTAAATTAAAGATAGTAATCTCAAAAGGTAAAATAAAGTTAAGACCCACATAACAATATTTCAGCTTTCTCTTTTTCAAGAGGTGCAAAATGACTAGGGGAAATCTGCTGGAAGAACCTCATATTAAACTATGATGCCTCATATTGCACATTGGAAACCACCTGGGCTAAAGTAAAATTATTTGGCCTATTCACTTTTAATTTTCTTTAAGAACTTTTCTACATGGAAGAAATCCTGCGGACACTTATTTCACACTGCAATGCCCTGCTGATGTTCATCTTATTTCCAATGTTGCTCTTTAAATTCACACCCTTCCTGTTCTGCGTTGACTTCCCTGTGAGCACTGCATACAGCCCATCCCCGAGAGAGAAACTGCCCTTGCTCTGTCTGACGGGAGGTTTCTGTAGGCGTGTTTAACTTTGGCATCCCGGCAAGAAGCCTTCAGGCTGTTAGAGAAGTATCAGGGACAACTTTGGTCTCTTTGTTTAAGAAAATAATTTATATACACCGATGGCTAGGTCTGAAAATTGGTCTTAAAAAGGTCAGTTCAGCCCTGTCCTCCATTCAGCCATGAGGGATGGCTGCTGGACTCTGTGGAGCCAACGTATCTTCTGCATTTAAAGGACCTCGATGGGAGTTCGTAGGTGGGAGAGCCGCTGCCAAACACCATTGCTCTCGTAAGCTCCTTGCTGACTCAAGGCCGCCTCCCTCCACCCTTTGATCAAACGGGATTCACCAATATGGGATGGAAAGACAAGTCTACCACAGTGGGCTGGGTACACGGCTGTGAGCAGGGTTTCCTACTGCTTCAGGTGTGATATCTCGTCAGGACACTTAACCTTTTCTACTCACATGTGGAAAAGTAAAGCTATTCCAAGCCTGGATTTTGACATAGGAGGTAATAAATATAAGAAATAATTGCAAAGAAAATATTTTGGTATTTTAAAACTAAACATTTTAGCGTCTAACAGTCTAAATGACTCCATTGATCTCCTTTAGTTTTTATAAAAATGTTCAGTTTTTCAAATTTAATCTCTGTTTACAATGGCAGTGTTTGAACTCCTGAAAACTTTGCTTTTGGGTGAGACACTGATATTGTGTATATCCCTTCAAAAGGGGCCACGTTTAAGGAGCATGTGTGAGGTGAGAGCTGTGGCAGAGGACCTGACCGAGGATGTGCCAGCCAAAACATATTCCAGTCCAATCTGGGATTAACCGAGATTTACTGTAACACTACGCTCTAATGAACGAGAAGGGGAAAGGTAGGGATGGAGCATTTCTTTAAGTGAACGAGCTCTCCCCAGTGCCCTCCAGTTTCTTGTGCGGAGCTCTACCTGCCCTGGGTGAAGCACCATGGGTGGCTGCAGATGGAAGCGGAGCACAGTGGGGCTTTATGCTCCCGTTCAAAACAGCTTACTGATATTTCAGTGCCAGGCCTATGGCCGGCTGCAGCGGTCTGAGCAAACATCTGAGGGAAAGGCACAAGCGCCTGCCTGGGAAAAATCGCCTCACACTCCTCTGGGGAGGTGTGTGGGGACGGGGACAGAGGGGGAGGACGGCAGGGAGGGTGCGAGCTGCTGCCTGGGGCCCCCAGCATGTGCCTGGTTAGAGGTGGTGTCTGTGGGAAGGCATACCGCTCCCTTCCACATCTCCCCAGTAAATTCATCTTCAGATGTTACTGTAGGTATAGCATTAATTCAGAACGGATTGAAGAGAATTTGGGGTCAGACTCACTTTTTCTTAATTTAGCTCCCTCCTGTATACACGCTGCAGAGCTGCAAGTGTAAGCATACTAGTCAGGGATGCAGTAACTTCTGGTTTTGTGAGCAGGCAATCAGACCTTTGTATGAGTCAGGCGTTATACTGAAATCATTAAGGCTACGAGAAGAAAAAGTAATGCTTGGGTATGGGTATCACTGTCTGATTCTTTACAGTGACCTTAAACAGCAAACGTTTCTGAGCAAGGGGACCCTTCTATTAAAGGTGTTTCAATAAATAATAAAACATGATGATTACCCAGTGTGTTGTCCAGTTGTTCATGCCAGCAAATGAAGTCATGTGCAACTGGAGGACTAACCAGTTTGCTTCAGTAATTCTGAATTAGCCCAGTGAGTACAAGCTTTCACTGCCCAAAAACATTCTCTCCCTTATTCATAATTATCATTGAATTATCTTGCATATTTAGCAATACACTGAATCAAAGAAAAAGTAGTCATCTAACGTTATATTTGAGCACACGAGTTTTACCATAAGGCCTGTACTGAGACAGCAAACTAAGGACCAGCCCTCCAACACCTTAAATTGGGCCATTGCTTAGAGCAATTTGTGTCTGGTTTTCTTTGCTCTGAAGATATTCAGAATAATGGTCTTTTCGCTATCTTCCAAATGCCATGTTCTTCAAATTCTTTTGACCCATAGTGAAAAACAGGTATTCCCCTGTGGCACATAGAAGACTGCAGTTGTTTGTGGCTTACCTGTCCTGGTTGTTCACAGGCTGTCTGGTATCTTGCTTGTTGGCATAATTCTTTTACTCTCTCATATTTTGGCAGTTGATTAGACTGCTGAGTGCTTTTGTTGGGTTCCTCCTTCTTGCGTAGAAATTTGCTTTAAAAAAACCAAAGTTGAATATTTTAGATACATTCCTCTAAACTCTGGAGATGATGAATCTAACTGGAAAAGCAAAGCTACATGAAGATTTAATGTCTTCTCAGGAAAAAATCCCCACATTTCTGTTACTGACCTTCAATGTAGGTCGTGTACTGAAAAAAAGGCTCAGGTGATTTGCTGGAAATTGCCCAAAGAGAAATAAGGGCTGCTGAAATATGTTTAACTGGTACAGTTCAGCACCATTCAAAAAAATATGTATGTTCTTTCACAAAGCAAAACACACTGAAGCAGTACTCGCCTGGCTGAAAAGCCCAGCTGAAGAGACAAAAGGGCTTCCACACTCAGTCAGCACTAGCTTGGCTATATCTTATATATTACAATGTGTCTTATATGCACTGTTTGGTACTACATCATACAAGATTTCCATAATCTGTAAAGCCATAAAGTGCCACAAGGAAACTGCTGTAAAATTTTTACTCAGAGAAAATTTTCACTGCAGTAATTGGCAAGGTGAGAGAGCATAAAGAGGTATCAGTGAAATGAGGAGCAGTTATAGTCATAAAACTCATTTACACATAAGTCTTTTCTTAGCTAGAACAAAAATAAAGAATGCTTCCAATATGTGATGGAAAATACAAAATCAGTTGATAAGAGGATTCTGCACAGCTGGATTTGAAACAGAGATTTGGAAAGAAAATGAGTCAGATGATGACGTAAGTGGTCACAAGTACAATGTTAGAGAAAGAGGAGGTACAGGCTAGGAGAGTCGCCAGAAAAGCATGGTTTCAAATTTCTTCAGAGGTAGGGATTTGGGAGCACAGCAGCTTGCAAAGCCAGTGGTGGGAAACTAGGAAACAAGTCAGGCCTGTAAGTTTGCTTGCAAAATTTACTACTTCGCTGACCATAAAAAGGAAGAGGAGGGAGCAGAAAGGAAAGCATGTACAAGTGAGTGTTCCCAGCAGGCAGGCTCTCCCAAAACTCTCTCACCCCTAATAATTACCCTCTTTCCACCAGAAATGTGTCACGCCAAATTTTGGTCTTCTTGTTTGTTCGAAACCTGAAAGCAAAATAATAACATTTACTGCTGGCACCTATGTATAGCACTGCTAGTGTTAACAATTTATTTTTGAAAAAACACCTCTCCACTTATATATACCTGCAATTTTATAGATGTGCTATTTAAGACACTCTTCAAATGTGGAAGCTGTGGTCATTGGCATGACACAGCTCATTTTCACAGAATCTTTTTCCACTCAGTTGTTGATTTACTTAGGTGTTTGCTTCTGAACTGGCTAAAAAAAAAAATGCTGGGACCCACCTGTTTCCTGGTCTCTCCAAGTCCAGAAGTTTTAGGACAGATTTGCCATCCATATCTGGAGGCGTGTCAAGTCCTGCTATATCCAGAATTGTTGGAGCGAGATCAATATTGAGAACTATCTGAGGCACTCTGCAAATCAACAGAAAAGGTCATAGCTGTCGTGTTCAATATGTAAGTCTTCACATTCTCTTGGATATAGAATGGTAATTAATGTTTATCAGGGCTCTGAAGATGTAAAGCTCTACAGAAGTGCTAAGTTTAGAAAATCCCCTTTGAAGGCTACAATTCTGAGAACGACAGGCCAGTACTGCAGACTTGTCATCACAAAGAAAAAGCTAAGCACAATAAAACACGGAGGTGCAGTAGCCACTACTCTTATCTCATTGACAATGAGGGCATCACGCCATCCATTCTGCTAAACCAGAAGGTCAGCAGTGAAGATGAGCACCTACTTTTTGAAAGCAAAACCCAAAGCCTAACCCTACGGGACTACACATTATACAGCTTTCTCATCTGCATTATAACTTATTAATAATATGCAAAATGAAAGACGTGCCTCTTTATAAGGCTCATTGCTCTACAATAATAGGACATCCTTTATGAAATGAAACTAGACAGAGTGATAATTACATGCTCTTAGAAACATTTTACATTAGGTTCAACAGCTGTGCTAGAGACATAAGAGAACGTACACTGATCCCGGCTCTACACTTGGACCACGAATAAAGAAAGGAACTCGAATATCAAAGTCATATGGCATTGACTTCCCCTTGACCAGTCCAAACTGCCCGATATGGTAACCGTGGTCAGCAGTGTAAATAATGTAGGTATTCTCCAGTTCTCCCATCTCTGTAAGCATTTGGTATAACTGCAACACAGCATAGGAAAAACTCTGAATTAAATGTAGCAAAACATGTTTTGTGCATAATCATTTATAACCATAATTTTACTCCCTTAAATACACGGAACCAATGATGACATCGATGAGGTTGTTGAAACAGACGTGCTGGGGATGAACATTTTTACATCCTGTCTTTACTGTGCTGTTAAAAAATTCAACTTACAAGTTCAATTTCACATTTGACAGAGGGGAAAATTAAACAGGTCCAGAAAATTAAAATAGCAAAATATGTTAATACTAATACAGTTGCATTAGTATGTCCAAAAGTCATTATGTACTCAAACACAGCTTGGGAAAAAAGTCTGCTACAGATTTAGGGCAAATAGTACTCAGATTTGATTTACTGTGTTAGACTACAACTTTCTCATTCCTTACAGTTGTGGGCTTGGGAAAAGGCTGTAAATTTTTATTAAAGTTTAAAGAAATCTCTCTGGGGGAAGATCTTTGGTCATGGTGCTTGATTTTTGAACAAAAAGTCATGCAAAGTACACCTAATAGTTCATGTATCACGTTACCTATAATTAGCTGTACACTGCATTGCCTAACTTCTGCAAACACTAGCAGACTGACACCTGAGTTGCTGTGATTTGCCAATTCCCAGATTTCAGCTGAAGGATGAACTGTGAAGGGAGTGTGTGAAATGAATAGAAGTTGTCATGTGTGCACCTGTGTCTATCCATGTGTACACGCAGGTGATGCATCTTCTGTTAATACCAGGCTTTATATCAGGCCCAGTGACTTTTCCCTTTTAAAAAATCATCAGTTTATTCACCCAGCAATTGAAAGAAGCAAGCGAGGAGCTTGGCACTATGTTGCAGAGAACATAAACAGAATTCATTTCTACTGAGGATATGTGGAGTAATTCTTTGTAGCTCAGGGGCTTTCCCCAGGCTATGGTTGGTGAAGGTAAAGAAAGAATTCATTTAATGTTGTAATCAACTAATAAGATTGTATTCACAGTAGTTTCTTGAACTCACTCTTTCCATAGAGTCGTCAACTGACATCAGGGTCTGAAGTCTCTTGCGCTGCAAGACGTTTGTAAACTCCATGTGGATAGGCAGCATGGGCCCCGTGTACTGCATGATCCAGTGCTTATCCATGTTTGGTGCATAGTTATAGCTGGGAGTGCTGGGAGGAAAAGAAAGGATCTGAAAAGTGCAGCACCACAGGCATCAGAGGAAGGTGGGAACTCCTCTAACACAGGAAGAGCCAACAAACAGTTAAATCACATATTCCATGTAGTAGCTGGTATTCCTAATGTAAAATATCACAAACATCACTTCAGTGGCTTCCAGGTTTCATTGGTTTGTACATTACTTCCTCAACATTTTTTAACCACTTGCTTTCTGAGCTTTATTTCAGGCTCAAAGACCACTACCAGATCCACGTTAATATTTGGGATACGCCAAAACTTATTTCTCAAAAGAATCTGTAATCGTTAAAAATGCTCAGCTGAATGATGCATCCCATAAAGATAAGTAGAAAAATGAAGAAAGTCAGAGATCAAAGATGACTACTTCCCCTTAGTATTAATGTAAATTGCCCTGAAGCTTCCAGTGGGGAAACTATCTTTATATTAGCACAAGTTCAATGAAACTCACAAGACAGATATTTTCCTGTGGGATAAAAAAATTTAGTAGTCAGTACTAAGATAAGAACAATAACACCGGTGTTATCAGTTTTCAAGATGCCCCAAAGAGCGAAAGCACTGACTTTTTTCGCCTCCCCATCACCAAAGGCGAGTGCAGGCATTGCCAGGACCCTGAGTACAACCCCCCTGGGGCTGGCTGCCTAGGCACAGGGTCAGCTCTGATCCGAAGCCATGCTGTGGCCTTGAAGGAGAGAGCTGAGAAAGTGCTGCAACCAGCACCGTTGACTCCAGACCCACGTTCAGTCTCCATCACTGGCCCTTGGCCCTCACCTGAGCCACGTCCCAGTTATGCCCAGTGATGTGGTAGACGTGCAAATTCTGCCCATACCAAAATAACATTTATTTATACACTAAATACTGTTGAGGTGTTATTTTTTTTATGTGAATACAAAGCCCAGTGCATTACCAGCATAACATGAACTATGACAACAATATTGAACTAATACTGCTATCGATACTAGTACTAAGAAGTATGGCACAGAGTCCTACTGAAGCAACGAATGACGCTTTAGGAGTTTGCACAAACACATCAAAGGAAAGACAGGAGTTCAAACCACAGCCAGTTTAAGACAGGAGTTCTAGCCACAGCCAGTGAATTTTTGAAGGATATCATATAAGAAACAAGAATACGTTCCAGATATATCACCTCTGAAGAAAAGGTACTGCAAAAAATATGCCAAGTAAATTTGCTGTGCAGATATGCACAGTACAAAAACTTCCCATCAGTCCTGGGTTTACACCTAGTATACAGGACAACTAAAAGGTGAAGAGAAACCAAATAAAATCCATGTCCCGTAACGGTTTCACCTACATATGACCACTTTCCTTCTCTAACACTTGCACAATCTAGGCTTTGAGAATCTAGGCTTTGCTGTTTTGATGAAGTTCTTTGGGTTTTATTTTTTCCCTCTTTCTAATACACTGCAGTATTACCTTTGAAAAATAAATGTAAATAGAAAATGTAAAAATGCTGTTGTGTGATTGGATTAATTTGATTCCTATGGTTCTCTTTTCAGTTTATAACAAAAATGTAATTCAATATTAATTTACTGTTTAGATACTGATAATTTTAATATGTGCATTACCCAAAGGTATGTTTTCCCCACATAAATGTTTGTGTAGTTGTCCTTTCATAAGAGGTAGCACTGAACAATTTCAGAACATTGTATACTGATAACTTAAAGTCACACCTTTGTCCAGTCCTTCATTTAGCTTTCATTTTTCTTGACATGGTTGTATGTGATCACAGAATGGTGGAAGCAGTTCATTTTGCTGAAGCAGTTGTTTTTACTGTATCAGTACGTATAACCTATAACTATATATTCTGAAGACAAAAATTGGCTGAATGGACAATGTAATAGACTGATAGTCAACGGCAATAAATTAATGGAGTCCACATTTTAATTGGAGACTATTTTTGAGAATTTAGGTAGAATTTGAGAAGTACGTATGTCTCTAGTACATACAGCTAGTTTTGACTAACCTACTTAACCATTAGCATCAAGGGAAAACAGAAGTGAGACAATGGTATCACAGGATTTGTGAACATTTCCTTGAGTACTTTCTTCCTAAGAAGTATGGAAAGGTTAGCAAAGACAAACAAAGTGAAATTCCTTTTCTGCTGGAAATTCTTTTATTTCAGGTTGAAAAGTCAAAATTTTGACATTTCCTATGGTAGAAGTCTGATTTTTTTAAAGGAATGTTGATACTACCACAGAATTAATGAAACTGTGCCCAGAAGCACAGTCCTCTAGGTTGTTGGCTAGCCAGCAGTCCTAGCAGATGGACTAATGGAGCCCTAGATCTTGAAGAAGCAAGTCTTAGGAGTTTTGGTCACCTATCAGGTATTAGGCACATTGACAGAAAAGAAGGATACTTCTAGTGCAAACTTTCCTCTGTTTCTTTGGAAGTTTGTCAAATGAGATGTTTTCCCATGAAACAGCTCAGTTTTGATTAATCGGCGTTTTCCAGCAAAACCCTGCTTTTTTTCAGCGGACTCCAGAGTGCCCCCGCCGTGGAGGGATGAGGTGGCTGTGAGCTGCACTCAGCCGGCAGCGCCATGACAGCCTGCCGCTGTGCCAGGAAGGAGAGCCAGCTGCTGAAGCAGGCCCAGGTCTCATGTTCCCAGGCCATTGTCAGAAGCCTCCTCCACATAATGGATAGTCTTTAAAAGCAGCACTCAAGGGTTTAGCAGGGCGGTTAAAACCTTTCACAGACACTTTCCAAATGCATTTTGAACTTTCTGGGTGAGAAATGCAGTAGGCAGAGAGTGAGCATAATTTTCCTCCCAGATAATTCAAGGAACAGGACCTTCTGTGAAATATCCAGTGCCAGTGGCTGATGGAGAAATGTGAAACAGGGGTCCAGAGTGGAGGAGAAAGTACTAGGGAAGAGGCAGAAAGGAATCCAAAAACCCCACAGGTCGTCTATGTTACCTACATACCCCTGTTTGTTGCGCCTTGCAGAAATCCACCAGAACGGCACTGCTTACCAGGCACAAGATCTGACATTGCCCTCAGATCTGTCTACCTTTTTTTGTGTAAAAAAACTAAACAAACACAACAGAGGTGAATTCTGGGGAGAATATTGCCGATTTCTGAAAACCCTTCCAAGTAGACAGACCTCTTCCCTGTCAGTGATAACTGTTTATCACAACTGTTTTTTTCTTGAAGCAGTCAGAGATATCAACTAAATGTTCAACTGTTATAAGGCCTTGAAAGTCATCATGGCACAGTCTGTCACTGTTTCTATTCTTCCATTTTTGGGAACGGCTTTGCTCTCTATTGACAAGCACTGCTGCAAAGTAACACCAACGTCTACATTTCCTTGATTCCTCTTAGCACTGGGAATGTAAGGTTGAAGATATGTACCGTGTCTTCTATTGCCTCTTCTCAGTCATGGAAGCTATCTTGTCTTGAGCACGTTTGTTGATCCATGATCAGCAGCTAGTGCCAGGTACCCCATTATTGTCGGGTTGTCCATGGCCTCTAAGTCTGGCAAGGAGCTACTGCTCACCTGCCTGTCAGTCTTTGCTGGGCTGCCCCTGAACAGCTCAGGTGCTGCCCCAGAGTGCAGTAAGGAGCAGTGTCTGATTTCAAGGTCATTCTTGCTAGTTGATCAGCAAAGAGTAAAGCACTTAAACTTCTGAATGTGTGCCCGGAGACTGACTGAGAGTTCATTTTACATGTTACAAAAATAGATAACATGAAAAAGCGCTCCCCTTCATGTAGGTCGGTTCTAAAATGACCAGCAACATACTACATGAATATTAAATCTGTAGAGGGGGTAAGGATTGAGAGAGCACACGATTACTCTACTAGAAAGGTACAGTATTTGTCATTCTTGTAGGCTATGCTAGCTTGGGCAAATCTAGATCGCTCAGTTTCTCACATTTGTCCAACACATACTATGCAGAATTTACTACACAGACACTTCTTGGCACTCCATGACAGGTCTGTTCTGGCACTGGGCAGGACACTGGAAGATGTCAGGTTCATAAAATTTCAAACTGACACCCCAGTTTAACTAACAAAAGAATCCCAATTGCTTAACAATAACAAATGCTGAATCCAGTCAGGTACTTTCCCATAAATGCATTCTCAGAATGAGAAAAATAATTCACCCTGAGATTTTGTAATCAGTCACCTATGTGAATAAATTTACAGAGAAATCATCCCATTTTATGTGCAATTTGCAAAAATCAAAAAAGTAAATTAGTATTAGCCTTCTCTAGCCTTAGATTACAGTCTCCTCAGGAAAGGGGTGACTTGCGTGGTTTGAGTTCTGTTAGCACTTAATGTCTCTGCATCAATGCGCATTGTTTTGTTCATGCTACATCATGGAAATTGCATTCGCTGTCTATTTACCACCTGTTAAACTGCAGCAGGAAAGGCCACAGTGGTGATACAGAGTTCTATAGGTTATGGAAGGAGTAAATATCTATTAGTACACTTTTCTCTTTAAAGAAAGATTCACCATCAAACCTATCATTTATTTATCTGTAAACATTGGTTCAAATAGATACTTAAAGCATGTTGAGAGGAAAGGAAGTATATTAGCATTCAACTTTGTGGCCTGAATCCAAAAGGCCTCAATAACCTTCAGTTACATGAACAATCAGCATTTCATATCACACATTTTAATTACTCTTACTGACAACATATTTACTACATTTGTATATTTAAATTTGAAGTTTAAAATAGAGAATGCATCTTACTTGGCTTCTAAGATACGACAATAACTTTAAGTTAGACAAGAAAGAAAAAAACCCAGCAACCCAAACCAACGTATGCTTGTACTTGAGGACCTATTGAAATGGGTCCTCAAATAGCAATCATTCAGAAATGAATTACACTACCTTCTACTAGAAACTGAACTGCTTTTTTGTGTGCTATTCAATGAAACAAATGGAATAAAGCCCTTCTGCAAATCATTATTACAAAAAAATACTTTACAGGTTAAGAAAAGAATAGGAGAT